TGGACATGCTCTTATAGGCTTCGATTATACAAGTTTCCCTTTTTTCCCTCCTATTCATTACGTAAATCTGTTTATTTTGGGAGCTAATTACAAAATACAACTCCTAAGTTTGGGGCGACTTTTGAAACGGGCACGACCCTTTCATACTGCTGCCCAAAGTTTTGAAGTGTTGGAGTCCATAGGCATCATCTCGTTAAGCCATTTTTGGAAGAATTTTTGTTCTAGTCCAAATGATAAAATGTGGCACCCTTGGTGCGAGCATTATGAATTTTGAACTGCTCCATAGTCCATTCAAAAACCTCAGTAAGCCCACCAGCTTCCTTTCCATAAAGCATATCATTGCAAAGCTTCCAAACTCTCCAACAACAGAATAATGAGGGCGCTCAACTAATTTAAGAAAGGGGTTTTTCTGTTTTTTTCGGAAAATTTTTGACTTTTTCCAAAAGTGAAAGTCTTTTTGTGGCTAAAACCTAAATTTACTTTTAAGAAATATCGTTTGTTGTTGATGAAGAAAAGTAAGTCTTTTTATATTTGTAAACAAGTAACTATCAGTCAAGAAATTTCATATATTCAATTTGGTAGCTATAGCCGTCGCATATTTGTGATTATGGTACTAAATTATGCTTTAGGTCTTCAATTTGGTAGTTATATTTCTTTAATAGTGTTTTTCTTTACATGCTACATATAAATGCATCAAATCAAACCAAAATCCTGAAAGAAAAATAAAAGAGAAATTAACAAACAATATGCATCATCATGAATTGAATCCAGAAAAGAAAAACAAATAATATATTGAGCACAGCAAACAGAATAATTAAGAAGATATCTAGCTAGTAATAATTAAGGTAGTTAGTTATATATGAGTACTAGTGAGCGAGTCATATCCAATCCTGTGCTACTATCTTGTCTGGAAAATAAACGTTGGACAAAAAGCTCCTCCCTAAGGGGGACAACGCGTCAGCTTCTACTTTGCTGCGGGTCTACACCATTTTCCTGAGCTCCTCAACCCATTGCGGCTATACTCGATTTTTTTTATTTAAAAAAAAATTTAAATAAATAGTATAGCCGGGCGGCTATATGGGGGTTTTATGTATTGTTTAAAATAATATAGCCGGGCGGCCATACTCTGTGTTTTACAAGTGTTTTGTTTTTTTTTAAACAAATAGTATCGCCGAATGGCTATACCTGAATTTTCCAATTTTTTAAAAGAAATAGTATAGTTGAACGGCTATACTCGGTTTTTCGCAATTTTTTAAACAAGAAAGCATGTAGCCGCCCAGTTATACTTGGTTTTTCCAATTTTTGTTTTTAAAAAAAGAATATAGCCTCGGGGTTATGCTTGGTTTTTCCAATTTATTTAAAAAGAGAGAGTATAGCCGCACGGCACTACTCGGTTTTTCCAATTTTTTTTCATTTAAAAAGAAATAGTATAGCCGACCAGCTATACTGTTTCAATATATTCGAATATTTTAACAGTATAGTCACGCATTTGTACCTTTTCAAATATATTCTAATATTTTGAATAGTATAGCCCCCCGGCTATACTATTTAAAATTCACACTTGTATCATTTTCTTTTTTAAAATATAGCATTAGTTCCATAAGTAAATAAATAGTTTTTGTATTTCCTTTGTTGTAATTAAATAATATCTTAGAGTTATTTAATTACTTTATAAATTATTTATAATTTGTATTAGTATTAAATGTTTTAATTTCAAATATAAAACTATACAAACTAATTTTGTATATAAAAATTCAAAAATAAAGTCCACAAAATAATTTATTAATATTTATTAATTAATTTACGAAATTAGTAAAAAATTAAATACTAATTATTTAGTAAATAAATAATAATTAAAACATAATTAGTAATTAATGTAATTAAAAAAGCTAAGATATTACTTAAATACATAGAGTAAACTAAAGAAACTAATTTTTCCTATTTTCTTTTATTATAACTTTTATATATATATATATATTATATATTAAGAGTATAGCCATGTGGCTATACTCTTGCAATAAATTAGAATATTTTAAGAGTATAGCCGCGCGGCCATACGCTTTTAATGTATTCGTACATTTGAGATTATTTAGGGTAATACAAGCATCTGTTATGTAATTCTCAGTGTTTTACAGCTAATTATTTTGGAGGTAGGAAGAGACAATCAACCTAATCAAAAGACGTTAGCATGCACTCTGTACATGATTCTCCTGTAAATGATTTATTCAACTTCCTGCTACTAGACCCTAGTTTTCGAAAAAGGAATTTGAGTTTTCCAAAATGAAAAACTGTTTTCAGATCTGATACTGGAGTCTGGACCCTAGTTTTCCATATTTAGTCAGAAAAAAAATGTGTAGCTGGAGGCCTGGGGTAAGTAAGAGCCTCTCTGCTGCAATGTTTCGATGACTACCACAGGTCACATAGCTTGGCCAAAATTACGTGCAGTGTGCCACTATGTATAAAAGTAAAGAGGTGAAGGCACCTCAATCATGTGATTAACAATTTCCCATCTTATTAAAATAAATCATTCGATGTAATCTAATAATTTCATTTGGTTATACTACATTCGTATCTTTTTGTTCAACATACTATATTCATATCTTTATGGTAATTTTTTTTGCAGGCATTACATGCTAATGCACTTCCTGTGCTCAACAATATAAGTAATCAATGGCTGGCCCAGTACATGTGAAACGTTGCCTGAGGAAAGTACTGTCGACGCAAATTAGTGTTGGCCTGTTTACGTTTGTTGCAAACTTCGCTACACTCAGAAAGGTTGAAAGCCATGGAGCCTGATCAAAGATACTAGAACCAGTTCCTACTCGAACAGCATGGTGCCGCAGATAATTGGTGATACATGAACTTTGAACACAAAACGCATTTGTCTTCCTTGGTGTCATTATGGGCCTTTCCTGAAGGGAAACTCAACAAAGGGGATGGTGTGATTATGTTCCACTGTGGTTATGGGGCGCGGTGTGAAGAAATCATAGGTGAAATTAGGAAAGCATTGGAGAGAGAAAAGGGTAATTGTAGGAGAGTGAGATTGGCTGTCCTGTGATTGATCATGTCACATGCATAGTTGCGTGAAGATTGGTAAGGGGATGATACCAAAAGTGAATTGCCGTGTCATTGTGTGAGGTCTTTGGCTCAGGAGGTGAGGACTTCTAGCATTAATGTTGATCATGGGAGAGTGCCCCATTCTTTGTTGCTTCAGATTTTGACTAATGCTGGGATAATTAAATGCTAATTACTTTGATTAAGAGTGTAATTGTTTATGAATTTGTGAGAGAATATTGAGAGCTCTTTTGTCATGCAATAATTCACCGCTGCTCTAAAATCTTACTATAAATTTATGCGTTTGTGGGTTTGTTCACAATCAACCTCTATTGTGGTGAATAAATTTCCTGTGTTTTATTTTATGTTTGAATGTGGGCATAATGCCTCTTTGTGAGCTATATGCCTTTATGTGGGCTAAATGCCTTTTTGTTGGCTTTTGACGTTTTAGTTTTTGGCTCGGGAACATGATCTTCGTGCTATACTGTACTGGTTTTAGCTAGATTTGTTCATGTTCGTTTTCTGTTAGTTTTATGGCAAATGCTTTTGCTCGGCTTTGTTTGTATTGTTCTTTTCCTCTTTGGGGGTTTGCAATGAATTGCAACTTCGACTAAAAAAACACCTATGTCCCACACATCTTCAAAAAACTATTGACATTTTGAAAAGGGAGCTGATTTTCTCACTCCTCTTTTGTGCACTTCTTATACTTTCTTGTTGAAAATTGTATGTTATAGTAAATAGTATTAAAAAAACAAAAATGAATGTAAGTGAACAAATTGAGAGTGAGAAAATCAACACCCTTTCAAAATTGGGTATTTATATTTTTTGGGCTCTTAATGGCCTTTGCACTTGGCTAATTTGGGTTGTTTGTTGTACCCCTTAGAGCCCAATGGTTTTTGGGCCAAATGACAGAGATATCCTTGACATAGGAACCTCAAAACAGAATATACCCAAAAATAAGACTGTTGCCGACAACCAAAGCCACTGAATGCATGAAACGCGTGTCAATTACGAACACATTTTTCACACAACGAAAGCTATGTCGCGTACTATTCTTTTGTCATGCAATAATTATCAGTTGCTCTAAAATTGTACGCAAGAATAGTCTCCAGGGCGGCCCCGACTTTTGGGTGGTCCTAGGTTAGAAATGAAAATGAGGTTTATTTATCTTTTTCCTGAATATAATAAAATAATGGAAAAAAAAATTTATGTAAGTAAATACAATTTGGATAAATAAACACGGCTCCAATATTGGTCATATAATCATTGCCCCAATCTGAAAATAAACAAGACTTATGATACAAATAATTTACACTCTTTCATATTTCCTTACTAAATAATCTACTAACAAGAATTTTTGGATAAATAAAAGAATTTCTAGACCCTAGCTTTCTTTCATTGATTGTTACTTTTAGTAATTAAATACTTTTTGGCAATTAAATACTTAAATACATGCAATTGATGTTCGTATATTACATCATTTTCATTTGGACTCTTCAGAAACACTTGTAATTAGATTTGGGGCCTCCAAATACCAAAATATTGAAATTATTCTCAGCTAAAATCATATTCTTCAACTTGATACATATATAATATGTATAATTTGGGGCCCTACAAATGCGAGGCCCATGGCCATCGCCCTCCTTGCCCACCCTCAAGGCTGGCACTGATAGTCTCCCACACCAAATATGTACCACATGTACAAAGATTGTTAGCTGCCACCATCAAGCCACAATTAATTCTTGACCCGCCACTGTGCATGAAAGATGTGTTCATTTCTCTGTCGTACGATGAAACATAAAACATGTGTTAAAGACAAAAAATGCACTACTCAATGCATGTACAAATTAGTTTTGAATTTTCTCAGTTGTATCTTTGCCTATATAAACCCCATCAAAGATGTTGACGCATAAAAATGATTTGGCACTTTCTCGCGCAACTTAGTGATGTTGGGCCTTCGGTATGCTCTGGACCTCGGTAGAGCGCGTGATCTGCAAGATAACAAACACTCGGTAAGACCTAGGACACCGGTGTGGTACCGGCCAAAGGCTCTCTGATGCTTAAATAAGTACGGATTTAGTAAAGTTGAACTACAGATCAATAGGCAGTATGTCGTATGTTCTGATTATCTTCATTTTGGGGAGTTGTGCTTCTTTTATAGACCTTGGGTGGTGTGCAAGTTGTGTAGAATTTCGATGTGGGACTGTAAACATTGATTATGGGCTTGCCACGTGTCCTAGAGGAGGAGGTTGCCCTAATCGTTGGATCGGTAGGCTGGGTGCCGAATAAATGTGCCGAAGGCTACCATAAACCCAATCTTGTCCACGCGTCCGATTCTCATTGACCGCTCATTTTGGTATAAACAGGAGTCTCCCAAGTTCTCTTTCGAGAGTTCTCGTAAGGGGACTTGATATTCTCTTCGGCAGGAAAATGCTATCCTACCGTTCGGTAACTCGGTGGATGGAGGGGCTCAATCTTGGCACTTCCGTGCGTTCCCGTCCGGAAGCTGACGTCGGGGGAGTCAGAAGGTCGCGTTCCCCTCCTTGCCCACCCTCAAGGTTGGCACTGATAGTCTCCCACACCAAATACGTACCACATGTACAAAGATTGTTAACTGCCACCATCAAGCCACAATTAATTATTGACCCGCCACTGTGCATGAAAGATGTGTTCATTTCTTTGTCGTACAATGAAACATAAAACATGTGTTAAAGACAAAAAATGCACTACTCAATGCATGTACAAATTAGTTTTGAATTTTCTCAGTTGTATCTTTGCCTATATAAACCCCCACCAAAGAAACTGGACAATGCCAGGAAAACCATACAATTTACAAACAAAACTCCTACCATTTACAAACACCAAGTTTCCATTATGGATTCTAAAACAAACTTTCAAGCTGATGAGCACCAAAGACGCTCTGCCAATTACAAGCCAAATATTTGGAAGGATGGTTTCCTTGAATCTCTGAACAGCAAATATGTTGTGAGTTCTCTTTGTCCTAATTAACTTTTCTCGAGAAATTAATAATTTTACTAGATTTTTACTAGAATAATGACACATTAATTAACTGAGTGTGCAGGGAGATGATTATACAAGGCAGTCTGAGAATCTAATAAAAGATGTGAAGAATATGATTTTTGTTGAAACTGAAGATTTGATAGCTCAATTGGAGCTAATTGACAGAATTGGAAAACTAGGCCTCACGAACCACTTTGAAAAGGAAATCAAGGAAGCCCTAGACACTGTAGAAAATAGCAACCCTTGCATAACAGAGAACCTTTATGCTACTGCGTTGCACTTTAAGATCCTCAGGCAGCATGGCTATAAAGTATCGCAAGGTAAATATAACGTACAACAATGTTATTTGTATCTTATTTATTTATTTTGTTTTTAGGACATTTCTATTGAGACGGATCATAATATAATAAATTCATACACGTATGCTATGACTTGAACCTATAACCATTTTCATGGGAGAGCAATTGCTCCAAAACACTACAATTGTGGATCCTTTTCTTTACTTTATTTATTGAATATTTTGCTGACTATACCTCTATCAATGTACATGGAACTCACCTATATTAGAGAAGTAGTCAGCAATTATATGTTTGCATGTACGTATTTGTAAACAACTCCCATAACACTATCTTATTTCATGTTATTTAACTTTTCAAATTGCCTTAATATTAATGTATGGGGTGAAAACAAATATCTCTACGTACGTGTAGATGTTTTCGGTGGCTTCATGGATGAGAAGGGTGCATTAAAGGAAAGCAATTTTTGGGATGTCAAAGGCATGCTTGAACTTTTGGAGGCCTCAAACCTGGCTTTTGAAGGCGAAAGGATCTTAGATGAGGCCAAAGCTTCCTCTACGGTAGCTCTTAGAGGTTCCAAAGTCTGGAATCTGGACAATAACCTTGCCAAGCAACTGGTCCATGCTTTGGAGCTTTCATCACACCGAAGAGTAGGGTGGTTTAATGTCAAATGGCACATACACGCCTATGAGAAAGACAATCACGCCAACACCGTTTTGTTACTTGAATTGGCTAAACTCAACTTTAACATGGTTCAAGCAGCACTGCAAAAAGATCTAAGGGAAGTATCCATGTAAGTAAAAGCGAAAAAATCGTTTATATTCTTTTTGGAAAATGAAATAATATTATGTTGAAAGTTTGGTAACTTGTTGCTTTGGGTTTTGATCGATGTGTCATTAAAGGTGGTGGAACAATCTGGGCCTGAAAGAACACTTGAAGTTTGCAAGAGATAGACCGGTCGAGTGCTTCATGTTTGCTGTAGGATTAAATTTCCATCCTGGCTACACATCTTTTAGAATTTTGCTTAGTAAAGTCATCAACTTGATTCTGATAATAGACGACGTTTATGACATTTATGGCTCATTGGAAGAACTAAAGATCTTCACCAACGCCGTCGATAGGTACCTTTGCATTGCAGCAGTATTAAATTGGGGTTAGTTTCATAATTAATGTCTAAAATTCTCATAAATTAAAATTGCCTTAAATTTAGGTGGGATGTTGGGGTAACCGAGCAGCTTCCAGAGTGTATGAAGACCTGTTTCCAAGTGCTCTACAACACTACTTGTGAATTTGCTCATAAAATTGAGGAGGAGAGTGGTTGGAATCTAGCATTACCTCATTTGAGCAAAGCGGTACTAGCCTAGCTGCGCCTTTTCCTTTTCTTTTGTTTTGCTTTGTTGTTTTGTTGAACTTGAAATTATTTGTTTGACTCTTAGTGGGCAGATTTCTGTAAAGCATTATTAGTAGAGGCAGAGTGGTACAGCAGGAGCTACACACCATCCCTTGAAGAGTACCTAAGTAATGGATGCATTTCATCATCAGTTTCAGTCCTTTTGGTTCATACATTTTTCTCCACAACCCATCGTGAGGGAATCAAAGAGATTGCTGATTTTCTGCACAAGAATGAAGATCTTGTGCATAACATATCTTTGATAGTTCGGCTCACCAATGATTTGGGAACTTCCACTGTAACTTTTCTTTCTTTATTAATTTTTCTTCTTGACGAAACACGGCGAAATCTAACCAAATTGCTATAGTTTTTTATTAGTTTTTACAGCCTACTTCCATAGTTTGATTAATTAATGAATTGATTAACAGGCTGAACAAGAGAGAGGCGATGCTCCTTCAGCAATCCTATGTTATATGCGAGAGATGAATGCTTCTCAAGATACTGCTGAGGAAAAGATTAAGGGCATGATAGACAATGCGTGGAAGAAAATAAATGGGACATGCTTGAGAACCACACAACAAGTGCCTTTTCTCTCACCATTCATCAACAACATTGCCACAAATATTGCGCGAATGGCGCACAGCCTTTACCAAGGTGGAGATGGATTTGGTGATCAAGAACAAGGCTCTCGGCTGATCCCGTCTGTGCTAGTCGAGCCTTTACCACTTTGAAGAGTTCTGTTGAAAAATAACGCAAATTTGGTGGAGAAATCTACAAGCTAGCAGAATTTCTAGAATAATTTAGAAAATTACTAAGTTAAAGTTTGTTGAGTCATACTAAAACCATCTTAATAATTATCTAGTGTTTGTGACTAAATCTTCTAGAATTGTTGGAAAACTAGTGGCTGAAAACACTTTAGAAGGTCGGTTACTGTGCACAACCGACTTGACTAGTTATTTGCCGACTTAGATGGTCGGTTTACCAACTTTATAAATATGCATGCAGCCCACTTATGTAATCAAGCTAATAATAAAGGCTAATAGCCTATCTAGCCAATAGCTACAAATAGCTAAGACTTGTATCCATCTTATTGTTGAATAAATAAAACGACTCTATTATTCTTCTTAAAATCCAATTGTTTTTTTTTAAGTAAATAAAATCACTTTATTTCAAGGCAATGCCAAGGTATGTGTGGTTAAACCACAAACTTTGAGAAGAGATTTTGAAAAGATTCAAGATGAGTGACTTTGGGTTGATGCACTACTTTTTGGGCATTGACACTACTACAAAAATCGAAATAGACGACGGGAAACCACCGTCGTGTAAAAGGTTTTCGCCCGGTCGTGAAATCGACTGCCGTCTATTTGGGTTTCAAACTACGACGGCTTTTCACCGTCGTTGTTTATCAGTAAAGATGACGGTTTTCAAAGAAAATCGTCGTTGTTTAGAGGTAAAGATCGTTAATTATAGGAGGAAAGACGACTGTTTTTAATAAAACCGTCGTATATTGTATGTAAAGATGACGATTTTTTTATGAAAACCGTCGTGGATTGTTTATAAAGACGTCATCTTTACATACAATAGACGACCTTTTTTTATAAAAAGCATCATCTTTACATACAATAGACGACGGTTTTTTATAAAAAGCGTCATCTTTACGTACAATAGACGACGGTTTTTTATAAAAAGCGTCATCTTTAAGTACAATAGACGACGTTTTTTTATAAAAAGCGTCATCTTTATATATAATAGACGACCCTTTTTTTTAAAAAAATTGTCATCTTTATATATAATAGACGACGGTTTTTATAAAAAGCGTCATCTTTACATATAATAGACGACGGTTTTTTTTTATAAAAAGCGTCATCTTTACATATAATAGACGACGGTTTTTTCGGTTTTTATAAAAAGCGTCATCTTTACATACAATAAACGACGGTTTTTTTCGGTTTTTTATAAAAAGCGTCATCTTTACATACAATAGACGACGGTTTTTTTCGGTTTTTTATATCTTTACATATAATAGACGACGGTTTTATAAAATCGTCATCTTTACATATAATAGACGACGGTTTTTAAAAAAAATCGTCATCTTTACACATAATAGACGACGGTTTTTATAAAAAGCGTCATCTTTACGTACAATAGACGACTTTTTTTTATAAAAATTGTCATCTTTACGTACAATAGACGACGGTTTTTTTATAAAAAGCGTCATCTTTACGTATAATAGACGACGGTTTTATAAAAAGCGTCATCTTTACATACAATAGACGACGGTTTTTATAAAAAGCGTCCTCTTTACATACAATAGACGACGGTTTTTATAAAAAAGCGTCATCTTTACGTACAATAATGCTTTTTGATTTCCTATGATGCTATACAACGATTTTAACTAGAAAACCAACCATAATGCTTTATCAAAAATAGTCTTTCATAAAACTTGAAGATTCAATAGTTATTACATAGTTAACCAATCTTTATTCTACAACAAACATAATTCCTAACAAGACCTACGTACTCCTAATCCAAGCATTCCTCATCCAAACATACAAATGATGCACAACTGAAGTCTCCTCCATCATCCCTGTAAATAAATCAAAATGACAAAGAGAGAAAAAAAAAGAAGCTAAGATTATAAACATAAAAATTAGGTGGAAGAGAAATTTTACCATTGGTCCATATTTCCATAGAAAACTTGTAAAATGAGCATAAAAAAGACCATCGGGAACCTGCAAATTTTCAACAACAAAAAAACATACGTCTCACATAGAAAACCTGCAAAAGAAAGAGTTATAAATCTGCAAGCTTCCTCCTCATCTCCTGATAACCAAATCAGAAAATCTAAAAAGAAACCAGAAATAAAAAAAATATGTAAACAAATCAGACAAATCAAGAAAGACAAAATCTGAAATTAGGGATACAAAGAACATACCAAAAACGCAAAGAGACTAATCCAGAATTCACTAGCAAGATATAGAAGGGTATTAAGAGATTAGGTGACTTTCAAATCAACCTTTCAACCAGCTTTGATTCTCAAATACAGAACATCCCTCTACATCTTATGGATTTGCTAAGATCTTTTGATGATTTTGTAGAGAGTTTTATGAGGGTGTTTTAGAGAGTGCATGAGGGTTTCAAGGAGGGAGAGATAAGGTTTTCAGAGACGGGGGAAAATCTGAAAATTTGACAAGCGCGAATTCACTTAAGTAGACTTTTTTTAGCGTGTTTTAAAAGACGACGCTTGTTAATGAGAGATAAGATTTTCAAAGACGGGTGAAAATTTGAAAATTTATCGAGCGCGAATTCACTTAAGCGGCCATTTTTTAGCGCGTTTTAAAAGACGACGCTTTTTTTAAAAAAAAATTTGTCATCTTTACATATAATATACGACGGTTTTTTTATAAAAAGCGTTATCTTTACATATAATAGACGACGGTTTTTATAAAAAGCGTCATCTTTACATACAATAGACGACGGTTTTTTATAAAAAGCGTCATCTTTACGTACAATAGACGACGGTTTTTATAAAAAGCGTCATCTTTACGTACAATAGACGACGGTTTTTATAAAAAACGTCATCTTTACATACAATAGACGACGTTTTTTTCCACTACACTTCTTGACCCTATAT